AGGTGGCAGATTACCAGCTGGCTTGCAGGCCACTCCTTGAGGACTCAGCCCAAAGGCTGCCGCTGCTGCTTGCTCTTCCCTGAACCTGTTAGAGTTGCTACTGCACATTCAACCCAGGCTTCAGTCTGTGGTTGTTGTGGTCACTGATTTGTTTGGACAGTAAAGATAGAGATAGTGCTACCTGAAATCATGGGAAAGATGCTCATAAGATATACGAAAAAGGCAGACTAATCTACGCTTCTGTGTGTTCAACACGCTTTTCCTGAGAACCTACTATGTGCCAGGCACTGAGGCTATGAGGTAAGGAGACCCAGCAACCTGCCTAACGAGTGACCTGTACATTCAGGGAAACTTGAAGAAACCCGAAGAAACAGTTCTCAAACTTCCACACCAATTGCAGGGAATGCCAAGAAGCTCAGGATTCAAAGAATTCGATGGGGATGTGTTTGAGGCAATCTGAGTGATCCAAAATGGAAAAGAAGAGCCAGCTAACGGCCAGTCGCTACGACGCTCCCATGGCCGCTGGAGATCAAATAGCCTGTCGGAAGTTTCTAGTGCCAAGCCCCTGCATTTCTGTGCAGACTGCTTTTCTCAATTGGAAAAGCCCTTTGAGTTCACCCACTGTGCAGGCATAAAACAAACTCCTGCCTAAAACTGAAAACAAATCACTCCTACTCATAAGCCAACTCAGCACTGATGGAAGTGGGCCTTGAGAGTGCACCTCGTATTTAACAAGCGTGCCTAATTGATTCCTAAATCTCTAACCAGGCTCCTTTCTTACCCTTACCACTTTGTTCTCACGGCTGTTATAGAGTTCTGGGATGACTATGCTTGAGTTTCTTGAAAAGCATCATACACATGCAGAGGGCGAATCTGTATGTGTGTTGTATACGTATGCACGGGAATCTACATGTGGATATATATGTGTCTTACATTCACGTACATACGTACGCCACATACGCACGCACGCATGCACGCATGCATTTAAATCAGGCTTCCTTTCATTCTTCCTTCCTCTTGAGTATCCTTTTTCTGAAAGTTAACTGCCTGGAATTGAATAGGTATTTTCCCATAATCTTCCAGGCAGAAATCAATGCATAGCTGTATAAATTGCTCGAAAATGACAACTCATTTATGCACGCGTGCACTCATAAGCTCGTGTCGATGTACCCAGACAGCTTGGGAATACGTTTATTTCTCACATGAAAATAAGGTTCCTCTTCCCAGATTGTATGATGCTTCCCGCCAATCTTTTAAAAATACATTTGATACAAAGTTGAAATAAATGATGGATTGATCTTGTGTTTTTACTAGAATGATCTGAAAAAAAAAAATCCATCTGATCCCTTGCAGGTCACATGGATGTCATTAACACCTGATAATGTAATTGATACCTTATTTCTCCTAATTCTCAAAGTTGTCTTTCCAACACCGTCATGTGGCTGTCTTGAGGCAATATATAACCATTCAGGAAGAGCAAGATGCCTCAGAACCATCTGGTTTCCTTAAGATCTGAAAGCCCACATGAATACAGATGTAATTGCTTTCTGTTTTGGTCATAATTCGTGTTTGTTCGTTGTTTGGTTGGTAATTAAAATTAAACTACTTGCTCCCAAACACGGTTTATTCTCCTAGAGAGAAAAAAAAAAATCCCACCTCATTTTACCTGAGGTACAAATTCATTTCTATTTTTGAAGTAACAACTGTATCACACCGAAGGAGAGGCAGAAATAGCCCACAAAGAAACACCAGTTCTGATTTCTGTTTTCTGACATCACATACATTGAGAACTGGGTGGTGGGGGGATCCGTCGGTTCAGTCTGCGAGACACTGTTTAAAAAAACTCAACAGCATGGAAGGAAACTGAACAACCAAAGGTGAGTGTGGCCTCGTGCTCTCTCAGACACTTGATAGTTTTAACATGGCAGTGACTTTTATCTACCTTTAATGACGGGATCGTATTACTTGTCAAACATGTACTGTATCTTATTCTTGTGTGCCGTGCCCCAATCCCTGTTTGTCATCCTATCAGACAACATGAGTTATTTCCAAACGGAAACATCCTGCCCCCTTCCTGAATCTACTGCAGGCTAGAAGGAGGAGATATGTACAATTTTAGGAATGAAAATCTTCATCACTGGAGGGCTTCTCACCCCCTTCCTCCTCTCACCTCCTTCTCACATCTAAAGACAGCTGGGGAGAGAACAAAATTGTACCTCAAACTATATTGTCAGCATCTGCACAGCGGCCAAGAGACCGTCACTGGTCCAGCACGTGCACTACAGTACAACCTCAAAAGACAAAACCTTCCTCCCCGTCCCCCCATCCCCAAGTTGCTGTGGTTACTTTTTCATATTGTAGAGCTGGGCGGATAACGATACACCTACTGGTCAGGAAAATGAATTACACCAGTATCTAGAGGTACAGAGTGAGAAGCAAATCGAATGCAGACAAGTAGGAAAGTGCACATGCTCATCCACTTGAACTTGTTACGTTCTTGCAAGTACACAAAAAATGGACTGTTTCAATAAAAGCTGTGCACGGAATCTGCTCCTTTGTGAGTTTACAGATTACTCGCTTTTCTTTTTGATTCAATATTTCTAAAGTATCTACGTTGTGCAAAGCACTGCTTAGGTAAAGGGTGGGTGCAAGAGAATACCAAAGATATTTTGGATACCAGCTGATAATCATAGGTTTTATCCCCCTTAAAAAGCAGCTGTAGGGGCGCCTGGGTGGCGCAGTCAGTTAAGCGTCCGACTTCAGCCAGGTCATGATCTCGCGGTCCTTGAGTTCGAGCCTTGTGTCGGGCTCTGGGCTGATGAGCCTGTTTCCGATTCTGTGTCTCCCTCTCTCTCTGCCCCTCGCCCGTTCATGCTCTGTCTCTCTCTGTCCCAAAAATAAATAAACGTTGAAAAAAAAAATTAAAAAAGCAGCTGTAGTGACAATGCCTGGAGTGGACAGTTAAGGGAAAAAAAGGTACTTTATAATAGTCCTGGGAATCGTTGGGAGTGCTTAAAGCAGCAAAGGAAATTACAGAAATGAAGTAGTTCTTAGAAGTAGAGCAAACCATGCAGTCACCACCTCCAGCCTAGCACCAGATCAACTCTCTCTCAAAATATTTTTTTTTTCCTGGCAAACTCCTTCACTGATGTTTTCACATAAGGTCTCTAATCTCACCACTACATAATGCTGCAGAGTGTTCGCTGGCAAAATTTCCCCGTAACGTCTCTGACACTCATTTAGCTTGACTACTCTGGCCCTAAGGTTTTGTTTTTTCACTTTTTTTTCTTTTTTTCTTTTCTTTTCTTTTTTTTTTTTTTTTTAAGGATTCATTTGGTCCAAAGTCATTCAGCAACAAGGCAGCAGACCAGGAGGCAGAGTTTGCTGAACTGGGATCCAGGTACATCATCTCTAAAAACGGGAGTTGTTTTGGGTCACACTCCAGCCCCTTCCCTGGGCAAAATGCAGGTATCTATTTACCTGCAGGAAGTCTCCTTTCGGATGTAAAGCAATGAAGTCACCACACACTTCTCTCAACAATAATCTGGCAAAGCTGATGCAAAATTTATCATATAGCAAATTCCACTGTAAACAGTTTAGCTTTGTCTTTCTAGGTACACCATGGCACCTGGGCAGGAAAATTGCACTGTCTTTTAATAGGTGCAAAACAATCTTTTTCACCCCTTCCCAGAGGCTTGCTAAATTTAATAGCAGGAGAGTCTGCCCAGCCAAGTAGCTGTTATTGCTTGGGGAGAAGTAAAAAGTGGACAGAGGCAGAATAATATCGGCTGGCTATGGGCAAAAGCCCTTTTAGACTATGTTTAGGGAAGTTTCCATAAACATGAAGGCATTCTCCAAAGGTATTGGGAAAATTTTTAAAAACAGCTTTGGAAAGTATTTAAACATTTGCAGAGGCAAAAAAGAAAATACAAATATAATTAGAAAAATCTGAGGTCTCTGGTAAAGCCTCATTGTCAACATGCCTTTTCTCAGAGGGGGGGGGGGGGGAACAACCTTGGATGAATTGTATTAAGGATTTCCAGTCACTTGGTCACTTGTACTGCTATTTCCACAGTCCACTTTCCAACCATTATATCAGTAACCACCCAGACTTATTGATTAAACCGGGGAGTCAACGTAGTGAAAAATTAGCAGGCATTTCAAAATTAAATCTTGCAATAATTTTGTTTTAATTGATGCTTTCCCGTGAGGTGAATGCATGTGTAGAGATAGGCTAGCAGCTAATAATCATGGGCTTTATTCCATATGTAGGGATCCACGGCCAATTAAACAATTTAGGAACATCTAGGAAAAAGGAACTCCTTTAAAACACACTACCTTAATTACATCAATACAGTAAACTCACCCTCACTGTTGTATCTATATATATCAATCAATGAACAGTAGTCAGAAAAACAATAGGTCCACCACAGTAATATTAAAACTACACAAATGAACCACAAATGAAATGCTAAGTTTCGTTATTCGTCTTGATTTAATTTCGTTTTCTTACCATACCAGCTTACTGTGTGAGTGCTAAAAATAAGGTTACCATTCAACTGTCTTCTAAAATCTATCCTCATGCCCTTCAGATGCCGGTAGTAAAAGCAAGCTGCCAAACGTGTCGATCCAGAGCGGGAAAAGACACGGCTGTGCAAGGAAGCTATGGCACTGCTCGCGGTATCGCTCGAACACGGGGAAATCAGTTGTTCAAAGCATTTGCCCATGATACGCCACGCAAGAAGTCCGTTTGAATTACAAACAAATAGAAACATGAAAACAAAGAAGAACACCACGGCGGGGGAAAGTAGAAAACAAAAAAGAAAGACGGAAGGGCAGGAAGACGAAAAGATGAAAGCCATAACATTGCAACAAAGTTGCAGGATTACTTTTCCTTCTACTTGCCATTTGAAAACTAAAGTTTAAAAAAGGCATGTGATTTCGTCGGCGTCCTAGGAAGGCAGCCGCTCTCACACACCCCAACTCGTCCCCAGCCTTACCTTCTGCTGCTAGCGCAAACCCAGCGGCTAAGGGGTCCCGCTCTCAGCGGCAGCGGCGGGGGCAGCGGCAGCGGCACATGCCATCTGTTAGCGGCAGAAGCAAAAGCAGCGCTGCGCGAGGTGGCCCCGGTGCCGGGAGAGCCTCTAGCAGGGGTGCGTACTGAATGCCGCCATTTTAAAGCGAGGCTCCTGAAATCATTAGATATAAGCAAATTAAAGCCCGCCCCACCCACAGAACTTCAGGGCTGGGACGTGCAACCCTCCTCCGAGTCGCCGCTGTGGGGTGTAAAATGTCAAGGCGAGACACACGCGCACGGGGACTCCCGTACGGAGGCGACGATCCCTGCGCTCCCCGGGCCCCCCTGCCCCCGCCCCGGGCTCCCGCGAGCCTCCACTTCAGACCCTAAGGCGAGGGGTTCTTTTCTCCCGAGCGCGGGGACCCCCGGGGTCGGTGCAGGCCGGAGCGCTGGGGGGCGGGGGGCGCCCGGGCCGGGGTTCTCCGCCCACCCCCCCCCCCCCCCCC